TATATATATATATAAAAGTCACAGACGGTTACAAGGCTTCAAATCGTAAGAAATTGACCAATTCTAGTCAAGTATTCTCCCTATATTAGACTTTGCTTGGTTGGTTTCCTACGACTTAAGACTCCACGATCATTTACGAATTCTATGTAAACGAGTCTAAAGTTTATCCAAAAGATAGATTAAATTCTATATAATTTGTTTTTGTTACTAATAATATTGGTTGATATAGCAGATTAGTAGCAATCACAACAACAAAATTTCTTGTCACATATTTACCGATCACCGGTTAAAGGTACTGGTGGCTTGTTAAATTAACAAAATCCTTTCTCTCAGTGCTTGTTATAAAAATTCTCATTGAAATTGGCTCGTTGACATACGCGCATTTCCAAGATCACGAGATTTCCAGTTTCACAATATCATGCCAGGCTTTGGCCGATCTTTAGCTCCGTATATCCTCCATAAGGAAGTCTTCGTTTATAATAGTAATAATATAAAGAAGAAAAGAGGAAAAAGAGACATATGCGCGAATAGTTCGAAAATATGCTATGTCCTTCCAAACAGCACAAACTATTAAAAGATAACAAAAAGAAATCTTTTTTAAGTTGTCTTTTCGAAAAGATGCTTAAAAGATGACGAAAAACATCGTTTTTAGATTATCTTTTTAGCAAGATGAAAAGATGTATGTATAAGACATCTTTTATAGTTTTGTCGAAAAGATAACTTAAAAAAGATATCTTTTCGTCATTTTTCTATATGTCATTTTTGCAAAGCAAAAACTCAACTAAAAGATATCTTTTCGTATTGCCGAAAAGACAACATGAAAAAGATATCTTTCCATTATTTTGATACTTTTTATTATTTACTCGCTAGTAGTACGCGGAATCGCCACCAGACGGACGTGGTGGAGTTCAGTTTCTCGTATTTGAAAATTATAAGATAGAACAAAAAGATGCAGTATTATGAAAAATTTTACTCATCTAATGAACACTTCTTCTCTCATCATCTTCTATTGAACACTAATAAAATACTTTTTGAAATCAAA